CGGCAAGATGCACATTAGGTTTTAAAAAGCTTGAAACTCAATATTAAACTAGACATGTTTATGAGGCTTAAGTTGACTACTTTTTGGGTTAATTGGGTAGATTAAATCAAAATTTGTATGATTCACATAATGAATACGATAAGGAAGTGCTAAACTTTAAATTAGGCAGACTTGGATTAATCATGTCGACTCGCATAATAAACGATTAAAATTCAGGCAAAGAATATGTATACTTGTCATCTCAATTCGTCAGTAAATAACTCATAATTTAATAAATAAACACGAACAGTATATATATACAACGGACATGGAAGCCCACTGCAAGCTTCTGCCGAACAGAAGCAGATGTACCGGAGATGATGATGATAATTAAAAAAAAAATGAATTCACAAACTGAAATTAAAATCGATTTTAAAAGGGGTGATGTTTTGCATTCCCGAATATCCCGCCGAGCAGTTCTTGCCGGTACGGCAGAAAGCTCCGGCGATAACCGCCCGCAGCAGCGGGCTGCCCGCCGCCGGAGCCGACCTTACCGTAATAGATTCGGTGGGCGGTGACGATATCCATCTCCTTGAGACTCTCGCCCTTCCCTTTCCCGCTCTTCTCCTTCTTCTCCGCCTCTGCCGACGAACATTTAGCAAACGAGTTACAGCTCCGAAAGGTTTTCTTCTCCTTCTCATCCGGCAGAGGAATCACCACAAACCTCTCCTTCCCATCGCTCCGACTCCGACCGACAACCAGATCTCGGAGTTTCCACTTCCGCGACACCGATGATGATGCCGATGAACCCGTAGAGCCGCTTTTACGCCACCTATCGGGAGACGGCGGGACGAAGTTCGACGGAGCGGACCTCGATAGCCGCTCCAGATCCTTTGCCTCTGACGATGAAGACGACTCATGAGATCCCGATCGCATATCACGCTTCTCGTATTCCATCATCAATCGCGCCACCCCCTCCGCCAAATCGTCCTCCTCCTTAGGGTTTCCGGTTCCGCCAACGAGGTCGCGATTGAAGACCGGATAGACGGGGAGAATCTTGCCGTTGTAGAAAATCTCGTCCGCTGTCGTATCGGGTAAAGAACCCGGATCCGAGTCGATTGAAAACGCGAACTCGAAATCATCTTCCTCCTCGCTAACCATCTCGAGCTGCGCAGTCTCCGGGAGCTCCGCTGCGCCGCCGGATTCCATTATCCCGACCCCCAGCTCCTCCTCCATTATCTCTCCAAGTCGTCCTCTCCCCATCTCTCTCTCTCTCACTCTCTCTGAAATTGCTGATTACTGAAACAGACGACGGAATAAAGTGGGGGATGGACTGAGAGGCGTATATAAAGCGGAGCAGGCTGTGAGTCGTGGGGACGAAGTTACAGACGATGAGTCGCATGCCGAGTTGGCACGTGTGAGCCTTGGGCTCTTCAATCTTCTATGCGCTCTAGCTCCTAACGAATATTTATGCGAAACAGTAAATCCACCGTTGAATTTGGATTAAACGGTCAGATCTTGTAGGAAGGTTCTTCTCCGAAGTCCCCTCGCGTACGCGTTATGTTCAACGGCACGACTGTTCCTGAAAGGCAACTAGAGAGCGAAAAAAAA